AAAGTCAAAAATATTGTTTTTTCCTCAAAATTGTCGATTTTTTTTTTTTATAGCGCAAAAAAAAAAATGCGCAGACGATCAAATACTACTTAAAGAAAGCTCAATTCGTGGGAAAAAAAGGGCTTAAATTTCATTTGGGTGCAGTGTTGCATGAACGCGCAATTGTCAGTTAAAGTAACGCAGCGCCGTAACACAAAACATGGCCTAGTCAGGAAGGGGGGTAAATCCTCAGGTGGACAAATGGTTAAAAGAAAGAAAAAGGAAAACAACATTGACCCATGCAGGGTCACAGACGATAGTACGGTCTGGATAAAAGCGCACAGATGTGTCCCAAAGGAAATAAGTGAATGGTATATGTCAACTATGATTGGTTGATTGGTTCATACCTCACAGACGATAGTAGCTTGGTAAAAGGGTTGTCATTGTGGTTCATTACAATAGAGATAAGGTCTCCTATACTATGTCTTATAGCTGAGTTTGCATGGGATGCAGCTCCCCGATGGCTGGGCAAACACACCTGGTATTTTGATCAGGAAAAATGATGATGAAAAAGAAGATTGTTTTAAAGACATAGGAATTGGGTGTTTTAGCATAAACATCAGACCTGGGTATGCGTGCCGGTGATAATGGGCGACTGCTGAGGTCAAAACTCAAAAAAAGGGGTAGAGAGAGGGTCTTCTCATGAGTTATAAGAAAAAAGAGCCAGGGGGCTCAAAAAGGAATACCAAGAAAAGATAAGTAAAGAGAGGGGAGAGTAGAAGAAAGGGTTTTTTCTTACCATGGGGGGATGCCAGATGCAGGTCTGTTTCAGGATGGACCATGATGGGAGATGTCAGAAATACTAGTTATGAATGAACTAGCCTGGTTGTAAATCTAGAGACTGGTTGGTAGTTGAGCCAAGACTGCCAAATCGACAGAAACTGATCATGTTTGTCGTCCAATACCACCCATATGAGTATAATTCAAAGCCAAATATTACTTTTTAGCATGTATATGCCTATCTTCATCAACATTCCCCATGATGAACTGTTTTACTTCACTATCATCATAAAGACACTGAGAAGTTGGTTACTATTGCTTGTATTTTCATTATTGCTTTTATTTCTTCTGATACAGTGGTGCTCAAACATTTGCATACCCTGGCAGAAATGTTGGCATTTATATTGAAAATATGACTTATCATGCCAAAAACTGTCTTTTATTTAAGGATAGTGACCATATAAAGCCATTTATTATCACATAGTTGCCTGGCTCCTTTAAAAAAAAATAATGATAACAAAATAATGATAACAGAAATCACCCAAATGGCCCTGAAAGTTTACATACCTAAAAGTTATACCCTGTAATGTTTGGCCTTGGTACAGATGCACAAGGTGACACGCATGGGTTAAAATGGCAATTAAAGGTCAATATTCCACATTTGTGGCTTTTTAAATTTCAATTAGTGTCTGTATATAAATAGTCAGTGAGTTTGTTAGCTCTCACGTACAGGCACTGAGCAGGCTAGATACTGAGCCACGGGGAGCAGAAAAGAACTTTCAAAAGACCTACAAGGTAATGGAACTTTATAAAGATGGAAAAGATATTCACAGAATATGCCAGCCAGTATTCTTCAATCAATAACTAAGATGTAGAAAGTTTAGGGATCTCTTGATACAAAGCCAAGGTCAGGTAGACCAAGAAAGATTGCAGTCACAACTGACAGAAGAATTGTTTGGGATACAAATAAAAAATCCACAGGTAACCTCAGGAGAAATACACACTCTGGAAAAAGATGATGTGGTTGTTTCAAGGAGTACAATATGACCATTTTTGAACAAAAATATGCTGCATGGTTGAGTTTCCAGAAAGAAGCCTTTACTGCACCAATGCCACATAAAAGCCTGGTTACACTATGCCCATGCCTCACCAGTCTTTTTTGTGGTATTGGCACGGTAAAGGCTTCTTTTTTGGCAACTCGATCATGAAGCTTATTTTTGTTCAACTATCATCGTAATGTACTTCTTGAAACGTTTGGGCACAACTCCTTGAAACCTTTGAGCACAACTGTATATAGTTCTTATAAACTTCTAAAAAGCCAGCAGTCCCTTTTTGCACCAGATATCTTAGAGGTGTCTGATTTATATTAAGTGTGGAGAACCAGACACTATTACGAGTATAATATCCTTCCAGGCAAATCAGTTATGAGGGAAGGTGAGTATGCTTTTTTTTAAAAGATGTAAAATCAATCCTAAATATATTCAGTGATGAATACTTAAAATGGAAGATTTAAATTTCTCCAAAATTTAGGGGATCTTATCAATTTCAGACAGAAAGATCTCATAAATGTCCTGTGCATCCCCTAGACAAAACAAGGCCTCTGGCTGAGAACAAAGCAAGCTTCACCACACCACAAGGGGGTACTTTCCCCATATTGAAGGCATGTGGTTTAGTGAATTCAAGGGGGTGGGGGGGCTCATGCTCCCTGCCCATCACTTTTCTGGTCAGTCAGACTGCATGCTTGTAAAAAGTTCTGGTATGGAGTTTGGGTGAGAATCCATGCTTTGTTATATGTGGAATACCCTCTTAAATCAACATCAGATCTAGAATAAGTCACCAGCATCTTAGCAACCAATGATATCAGTGATGCCCACAACAAATACTTAGTTGCAGGACACAGGTAGCCACCAACATCATTGCAGTCAAAGATTAATAAGTGATTTACTTAGTGGTGGTACTAATAATGCCAATAAAATAATGACTTCCAAATGCAGCAGTCATTGGTTTGGTGGACGGGCAAACTGGCTATTTAGTTTACCAGTTTTGTGAATTGTAAACATGTAAAGTTGCTGCTCAGGTGCCATATTGGAATCAGAAATGTGCTTTTCTTGATGACGTGGATGTGACTTTCATGAAAGTGGTTTTATATAGGCAGTTAACATAGGACAGGAGAGCATCCATATGGGGTATAGGAATATGGCAATATAGTTTGAGCTTTTTGGATTCAGCCCTGTTGGTGACCCCATAGAGTTGACCAGTGCTATTTAATATATGTCACTGAGAGAACATTCATGTCTGAAAAATTAGATCTACAATTGGTGCTTGGAGAATGTACAATTCACAATATAATATATACAATTAAGGCATGGATCCTGAAGAGGCGAACCCTTCGTGAAACACTTTGGTCCTGTATGCCTTAATACTGCAAGACAGTATACATGAATTTATTGGTTTTATTGGTGTTTTGTATCTTACTGTTTTTATTTTAATGTAATAAAAATTGTTTGTTTAATCATTTTTGTGTGATTTCTGCATAGCACATACAAAGTCCCATCCATGGTCTCCTTGCCTTCAGTGGAATTTAAAAAGGGAGGTGGGGGGAGTTCATTCTACTGAAACTGGCTATCTAGTTTACCAGTTTTGTGAATTGTGAATACATAAAGTTTGGGTCGAACTATACATGACCACAAACTCATTCCTAATGCCAACCAGCATGGAGCCAAGACATCCACTCTCAGACTGTATAATCAGTTGCAAAGGGTACACTGAAGTGCACAAAATGCTGAATTGCAAACATGCCATCCAGGAGCCAGGGATAATTTTCACAAACAAAGTTAACTTTAAACAAAAATTAAATCACAAAAACTACTTCAAAATGACAAATATATATTTTCCTTAAATTATATATCAGTCTGTATTTATCACGCACATAGCACTCTCAACATTTACTCTATATTTTATTAAGGATTGGATGAAAATACTGGAGTGAAGCAAAGATGCAAAGAAAAAAAAATTCTAAAAATATTCTTAAATTCGTCAATATTTATTAAAAAATGTCCATAAACAAATTATTTTACTCCAAAAGAACATGTTACATTTTTAGCATTGTACAAACCAGGAAACCTCATATCTCTCAGCCAATAAATCAAATGGTTTTCTCTTTGTAGAAGGTTTTTGTCAAACTCACCTCTTCTATCAGTTGTATGCATTCGCTCCAGGGCCCAAAAATTCACATCTGTTTTAATACCATTGTGATGTTTCAATATATGTTTAGCAACAGGGGACCTTGAATCACCTGAACTCGTGACAGAAATATAATCTGAGATGTGTACTTTAGACATTCACATATTAGAAGATAGAGGACGTTTATTATATTACAGTTAATAAAATGTGTCATCAACAAATACCTTCTATTAGACAGTTCTATATTATTACATTTTATGGCATAATGGAGCAAGAATGGCAAACGGAGCAAGAATTGCATGTATTCGTGTCCTGTCCTGTTCTCTATAATTTTCCTTTTTGTCTAGCAATATGACACTAAGGTGACTTTTCAGAAGCTTTGTCTTTTAAAAGTGAATCTTTGACTAGGGGAAACTACTGTATTGCAGACAACACTGGATCCTTTGTGAAACAATGCCAGTGACTCCAGATTATATCACTCAACCTACTAGCTCAACTGGAAAATGTTGTAGTTAATTTAGATTTAGCATAATTTTGCTTCTCTAGGGAGGTACTGTATGTATGTTGGCCTTTTTATTTGTCGACTCCTTGTCATTTTTGTCCTCCAACATGCCACTCTAAGATGCCTTTTTTAACCTATCACTAGAAATCGTAATCTTAGTTTCCTACGCTCAAGTTTGAAATCTTCATCCTTTGAACAGTTCCTTGAAATACATAACATATACTGGGAATCCCCCTAATCAAAATTTTAGAATGGAAGCTAGAGGTCTGTATTGTCTGCTGTTGCTTTAGGAACAGATTACCTTCATCATCACCTATGAGCTTGAAATATAAAAATGTCAATGAATTCCCTATCCTAATTCAAAGCAAATCGAAGGTTAACCACTTGCCCTTCGGAAGATTTTACCCTCTTCCTGACCAGGCCATTTTTTGCTATGCCGCAATGAGTTACTTTAATTGACAATTGATGTGGTCATTCAACACTGCACTCAAATGAAATTTAGTTACCGTATATTTCGCTCCATAAGACGCACCTGGCCATAAGACGCACCTAGGTTTTAGAGGAAGGAAACAAGAAAAAAAATATTCTGAACCAATGGACTGCAGACATAGTACAGGAAATGACCAGAGACAGCGGACATACTACAGGAGATTACCAGAGACTACAGACATAGTACAGGAGATGACCAGAGACTGCGGACATAGTACAGGAGATGACCAGAGACTAGAGATGACCAGAGACTGCAGACATACTACAGGAGATGACCAGAGACTGCGGACATAGCACAGGAGATGACCAGAACCTGCAGACATACTACAGGAGACGACCAGAGACTGTGGACATAGTACAGGAGATAACCAGAGACTGCAGACATAATACAGGAGATAACCAGAGACTGCAGACATAGTACAGAAGATGACCAGAGACTGCGGACATAGTACAGGAGATGACCAGAGACTGCGGACATAGTACAGGAGATGACCAGAGACCAGACATAGTACAGGAGATGACCAGAGACTGCAGACCTTTGGGGAGCGGAAGGGGGCTGAGCAGGTACCTGAATATGACAGGTACCCGCTCCCACTTCGACGTAGTTGTCCTCCCTCCCCATCTCCCCAAACCCCAGAAGAATGCCAGACCATTCACAAAGCACATTGATTCTCGCGCATTCGCAGTGGGCACCCGCTGTGAGGCCGCAAGCTGTCACAGCCGGGTACCCACACTAAAGATGCCAGTGCCAGGGAGAGAAGACGGTGAGGACACCGCTGGACCAAGGAACGGGTAGGACTGAGGAGCAGATTCTGCTGCACAGAAGAGCCAAGCAGCCGGTATTCTAACACAGCGGCGGTGGCTGCTCCATATTCGCTCCATAAGATGCACAGACATTTTCCCCCATTTTTTGGGGGATAAAAGTGCGTCTTATGGAATGAAAAATAAGGTAATGGTTTTCATACAAATAGAGCTTTCTTTTGGTGGTATTTGATTGCCCCTGGGGCTTTTATTTTTTGCACTTTAAATGACCATCAATGTTGAAAAAACCCCTCAATATTTTTTACTTTCTGCTATGAAACATAGCTAAATAATAAAAAAAATAAACAATCAAGTGTCTTCATAAATTTAATACAAAATGTATTCTGCTATATATTTTTGGCAAAAAATCCCAATAAGCGGATTTTGATTGGTTTGAGCAAATGTTATAGCATCTATAAATTATGGGATATATACTGGACTTTTTATTTATTTTTTCTATCCTTATTTTTTTTATACCAGTTATGGTGGCGATCAATGGCTTATAGTGGGACTAATAGTACGGTGATCAATCTGACACTAACTGACACTTTGTAGGAACCACTGACACTAATACAGTGATCAGTTCTAATAATATCCACTGACACTGTACTAATGACACTGGTTGGGAACTGGAAATCAAAGGGCTAAGTGTATACTTAACAGTGCTTTGTGTGTGTACAGTGTGATGCTTTTACAAGGGGATGAGCCGTTTTTCATTCCCTGCTTTGCAGGGAAACAAAAACCAGCACATCCCCAGTGACAGGACAAAGCTCTGTATTGTTTACATACACAGAGTTCTGTCCTGTCAGCCTCTTCGCCAGTCAGTTGGTCCCAGCCCTCAATCATTGGCTAATCAGTGTCTAATCATAACACAGCTGGGGCGGTGCGTGCGCGCCTGCACCCCCTACCTGGAAGAGCTGGATCATGTAATAGGTACATGATCCGGACACTGCACCTCTAAGGGATGTGGTCTGTGAGCGGTTGAATATATTAACATTTAACTTGGCCACAAATTCTTTAAAATTCTGCTCTGATCCTGTCCAAAAGAACAGGATATTATTAATGAATCTGTGCTACACCAATATGTATGTAAAGTTACAGGTACATAGTGAGGCCCTCATAACCACAAATATGGTACTCCCACCCCCAGGTACAGGTTGGCATACAATGGAGCATACATGCACATTGCAGCCTCTTGCACCTGAAGGTAGTTGGTGCCGCCTAACATTAATTATTTATATATATATATATATATATATATATTATTTTTTTTTTTAATTGAAATATATTTTGAAATATATTAAATATGGACAAAATTGTAGCATTTCAAATATATGGCAATATATTTGAGAAGAATATTTTTAAAATATATTTAAAATATATTTTTCTTCCATGTGGGGCAGCACAGTTGCTGAGTGGGTAGCACTTCTGCCTAGTAGCACTAGGGTTGCCCGTTTGAATCCAACCACTGCACTACCTGCACAAAGTTTGCATATTCTCCCTGTGCCTGGGTGGGTCTCCTCTGGTTACTCCAGTTTCCTCTAACTTAATTGGATCCTGTCTACATTGGCCCTAGCATGTGTATGGATGAATGTGAGTTAGGGACCTCAGATTGTAAACTCCTTGAGGGCACGGACTGATGTGAATATACGATATACAGCGGGTAAAATAAGTACTGAAGACATCACCATTTTTTTTAAGGTACATATATTTCTAAAGGTGCTATTGACATGCAATTTTCACCACATGTAGGTAACCCATGCAATTCATACATACAAAGATACCAAAACAAATTATTTCAGAAATTAAGTTATATGTAATAAAATGGAATGACACAGGGAAAAAGTAATGAACACAGAAAGGGAGGTGCAAAAAGGCATAGAAAGTCAAGACACCAGCTGAAATCTATCAGTAGTTAGAAAGCAACCCTGTCCCTTGTTAGTGCAAATTAATATCAGCTGGTTCAATCTCAATGATGGCCTATGAAAAGCTGTCCCATTACCAAGTGCCAAATAAGAAACGTCTCATGATGGGAAAAAGCAAACAGCTCTGCCAAGACCTTTGCAACTTTATTGTTGCAAAATATATGATTTAATTGGTTACAGAAGGATTTCTAAACTTCTGAATGTTCCAGTGAGTACTGTGAAGGCCATAACCCAAAGGTGGAAAGAACATAAACCGCCCATGACCAACTTCTTCTCGCAGGATTTCTGACAGAGTAGTAAAGAGAATTATCAGAAGAGTTACCCAAGAGCCAAGGACCACTTGTGGAGAGCTTCAGAAAGACCTGGAATTAACAGGTACAATTGTTTGAAAGAAAACAAGAATTAATGTACTCAACCGCCATGGCCTGTATGCACGCTCAACCACACAAGACTCCATTGCTGAAGAAAAAGCATGTTGAAGCTCGTTTAAAGTTTGGTGCACAACATTTAGACAAGCCTATGAAATACTGGGACAATATAGTCTGGTCAGATGAGACCAAAATTGAACTCTTTGGATGGCATAATACATATGTTTGGAGGTCAAATTGCACTGCACATCACCACAAAAACACCATCCCAACAGTGAAGATTGGAGGTGGGACCATCATGGTTTAGGGCTGTTTGTCAGCATACGGTAGTGGAAAACTTCATATCACTGAAAAAAGGATGAATGGAAAAAAATGTACCAAGAAATTCTTGATAAAAATCTGCTACCATATACCAGGCTGATGAAGATGAAATGAGGGTGGACATTTCTGCAAGACAATGATGCCAAACCAAAGCCAAGGCAACTCTCAAATGATTTCAAAGAAAGAAAATAAAGCTGTTAGAATGACCCAGTCAATCGCTTGACTTGAATCCAATAGAAAACGTATGGAAAGAACTAAAGATCAGAGTTCATAGAAGAGGCCCACGGAAACCATCAATATTTAAAGACTGTGTGAAAGAATGAGCCAAAATCAAACCTGAGCAATGCATGCGACTAGTTTCGCCATACAAGAGGAGTCTTGAAGCCGTCATTACCAACAAAGTAGTATTTTGTATTAAGTATTAAATAAATTTCAGTTAGCGTGTTCAATACATTTTCCTTGTGTCATTCCATCTTATTACATATAACTTAATTTTTTAACTTATTTGTTTTGGTTTCTTTGTTTGTATGGATTACATAGATTGTTACCGACATGTGGTGAAAATTTCATGTCAATAGCACCTTTAGAAATATATTTACCTAGAAAAATAGTGACATGTTCAATACTTATTTTACCTGCTGTATAGTTAAAGAGTTGTCTAAATTGACAGTGCTAAGTAAGTACCTGTCATGAATACATAATACATGAACATCCTATGAGAATCTCAATGGCAGATATAAGAGAACTGTTTTCCTTTATTTATGTTTTTGAAGATCATTATTTTTAAATCTAAGTTGCACAATATTTGGAACCTTCTGCACAAAGAATTTCTTGAATATAGAATTTGTACGTCATAATTACCCAGGATGTGAAAAATTATAGATATAAAAATAATATCTTCACCTTTGGTTTGAAGGAGAATGTTTTGTACGTCATAATTACTGTTCCATGGGATAAGGGGTTATACCTACAATTGTAATAGCATGTACCTGCAAAAACCATGCTCTATAGCAGGGTCCTGCTGCCTTTTTAAAATTTTTATGAGGGTTATTTTGTTTTATTTTGTATTTTTGCTTTTTTGCCTTTTTTTTATTTTTAATATTTGTTTGTTTTGTTTTTTTTCTATATTTTTTATGCAATGTCCTTTTTTTAATTTTCTCTTTCTTTTAAGTAATATATTTGTAAATTTGTATAGATGTGTGCAATATATGTGAATTCAGTGTGTCTTAATGTCTTTGCTATTATTGCTTTATATACAATTTTTTTGCTGGGCAAACACAGTGCTGTGTGGTTATATGGGCCAGAATATTGGCCTATTTAAAGTGAGGAGTAATTTCTGCACTTTATTTGAGCACTAAAAACCTTACAAGGGTTTCTATGCTTTCCTACTCTACCCAAAATAAAAAAAAATACACTTTAATTGAAAGCAATGACACAAATGATGTATGCAAGTAGAGATGAGCGAATCGAAGTAGGCGAAGTGGAATTCGCTTCGAATATTAGAAAAATTCGATTCGCGCCGAATCCGAAAATAAGCAGACTTCGGATGCGCGAATCGAAATTTTTCCTAAAATGGCGGCGACATGTGCGGCGACGGAGCGGGGATGTCTGGGAAGGCGCGCAGACAAGGCGCGCTGACCCATAATGCATTCATTCATGACATGTGATCGCATTAGCCAATCAGCAGCCAGCCAGCCAGCACTGTGTAATGGTCGAGCTATAAATGGCGGCCATTTTAGAATTCTCCATTTGCCTCCAGTCATTCAACAGAGGCAGACCTGGCTGTATTCAGGGAGAGAGTTAGGGACACAGAAACGTTACTTAGGGACACAGAAACGTTTACTTAGGGACACAGAAACGTTACTTAGGGCCACAGAAACGTTACTTAGGGACACAGAAACGTTACTTAGGGACACAGAAACTTTACTTAGGGACACAGAAACGTTACTTAGGGACACAGAAACGTTACTTAGGGCCACAGAATCGTTACTTAGGGCCACAGAAACGTTACTTAGGGCCACAGAAAACGTTACTTAGGGCACACAGAATCGTTACTTAGGGCCACAGAATCGTTACTTAGGGCCACAGAAACGTTACTTAGGGCCACAGAAT